ACTATTAATCAGCCTCAACAATGTAATATTGGCTATTGCGATTTTTTTCGGCAAAGTAACAATCACTGTTTAATCTAAATAATGCGAACAGATGATTTCGGGGTAAAATTATCAAACTTATATATCCAGCCAGAAAAAAGTTATTTTTGAAAAAAACATCGAACCGTAGGCCTAAAGTTTAGACATTTTTAGGCCCTACAAACATTAGTAACAATGAATTAAGTTGTTTGACGTTGTGACATGTTCCTATTTAGACATTGTGGCGGACAATGTTTAGCAATTCAACAAACGTGTTTTACATGGTGAAAAACACCAATGATGATTCGAAAACTAAAAGAAAGTAATACAAATTGAGTTTAAATTAGGGGGTTGATTCGAGTTGGAATACCCTTAAAATTATATGGAATATGATATATGCTACCATATAAAGTGTTGGCTGTGTAAATATTTAAAATTTTCCCTTTTGTGATTTGATTTTATCACTGTTGGCATAACAAAAGTAAAGTTTACCTCCTAAGAAATATGAATTGAATTGAGAATGGTCCATTTTGTATTTTTGTAAAAAGATATATATGATTCCAAATAGTACACAATTTTCCTCATAAAAACACCATTTTGACACAAATACAATAAACATAGTCAAATTCGACTCTTGCCGTCGTGTCTGAAAAACTACAAAGTAACTTATATTGTTAATTAGGATAAAATAGGCGCTGCACGGGTATAGTTTGTTTATGCTAGTCAATATGATATTTATGAAATATCAAGTTACTACTTGCTTTTTTGTAATCTATTTATAATTGTATTGTTATGGTACAGGTATTGGTATGAAAAGCGCGTACAAGGGCGCATGGAAAGGGTGGGGGGGGGGGGGGTCACGTAACCGAACTAGCCAAAACTCTGAGAATATATCTATGATTCATCCCCCTCCTACCCCTTCCTCTAAAAATTGTTTTCCTTAAGGTTATCCCATTGCCATTTAATATACTTTCAATGTATATTAAAAGTATACTTTCAATGGATAAGATAGGATTTGTATCATAAAGAAGATATGGTTTCTGCCCGTTTAAATTACCTATAAAACTAAGATGTAAAATTCAGGTTTGTTTTTATCAATGATGGGTAAATGTTGAAAGCAGTTAATTGTATTCAAATGGATATATATTATAAAAAATGTGTATTTAATAACCAGGGGGCCCATTGCAAACTTGCACATTTTAATAGGGTTCAACACATTTTCGAAGGTAAAACATGTAATCTTTGGTAAAACTAACGATGCAATACCCCTTTATTTTTAAATATTATGTTTGTTTAAAGCAGTCATTAAAAGTGAATACACCTACTAATTTTCAATCAATTCCATTGATTTATTTTAGATCCACACCATGAAGACTAAAGTCACCTACCTTATTTTTATTAACTGCTTTATAAACAAAATCTAAATGTGGTTCAATATTCAACTGAAGGATCAGGTTTTATATTGCAATTTAAATTCGAAAGTGGCCTGGTAATTTGTTGATACAACATTAGTTTGGTAATAAGTTGCACTGTAAAAATATTCTGGAATCAATGGCGTAGTCAGTGAGGCGTGACTAATGGGATTTACTCACATGCCCCCAGTACACTCTCGCCGAGGCAAGGCGAGCGTTGGCGAGTGCGAGAGTGTACTCGGTGCGCTCGTCTTCACTCGCCTTGACTCGGGTCGCCTCGCCTCGCCTAGCCTCGTGCTCGCCGGCGCTCCATCTGGAGTCGGTTTTTTGACACGAGTCAAAGGACCCGAGACTGCACGAGTGGCGAGCGCTACTTCCACATCGAAGTTTGCCTCCAATTCGACTGCGAGACAAAGCGAGTGTGTACACGGTTACCTCGCATAAGCTCTCGCCCGAATTTCTCGGCGAGCGTTTCGGCGAGGCGCCTCGGCGAGAGTGTACTGGGGGCAACAGGGTCGACCTAAGCATTGTCTTGTTCAACCCTCGTAAGTAGGGGATTAGTTTCTTGCCCGGGTAGGACCAAGGAGCGCGAGCACCTCTGCGCTCCTTGGTCCTACCCCCGACGAATTCTTCAGCCAAGGGGTTGACAGTTTTACGACTTGCGCTCCTCTGTCCGTTTCCCGAAAACATAGGCCCTAAAATGGTCTTTTTTAGCCCTACTGGCATTGAAAATTATCAACGTCAATTAACGTCAATGCAGTTATTATACAATTCTAATAATGTATAATTTATATTATTATTATATAATTTTACGATTAATTTAACAAAAAAATATTATATTTAGGACCGGAAGGGGGGGGTCCGGACCCCCGGACTCATCTATTCAATAGAATGTATACTACAACGTTAGAGTATTATATTTAACTACTATATAACGTTAGAGTACAACAGTAGAGTATTATACATCGATGGGTCCAACATGTCAGGCGGACGGCTACTGACGGCGGTCAGTAGCTTGATAGTTCGAAACTGGACCCAGCTGCCTCTGATCTTTGAACTTCAAATAATGATCCTGGGCTAATGCAACAGCTTATCGTAGTCAGTAACAAAACTACACAGAACATCTCACACTATTCTGCTATTCTAAGCTCATCCTTCATTCATGTTAATTGAGTTAAAATACGCTCCCATGTAGAGTCACCATCTCGATTGATAATGGTGACTGTAGAGATGAACTGTAGAGTCAAAGTTAATTTATGGCGGATAAGACCAGGCCTCGTGGGTCTGGACAGGGGCGGACTGGCCCGCCGGCCCACCGGCCGGTGGGCCGATACGCCTTCTCAACATTCCAATATTTGCGCCCTCGTTAAAGGAAAAATTCATAACAAATTTTAAAAAATGAGTCGAGATGTGTTTTTAGAAATCAAGATGAAAAACTTAGAGTAAAAGTTTCAGCAGTGAATAGCAAAACATAAAGTCGGGTGTGAGACCTGAATAGACCTTGTCGACAAGCGAGAGCAAATCAGCTCTTCTCTCTCGTACGTGTAGGCCTACTCCGAGTTGAAGGCACTTTAACTCTGTGGTCTGAGGTACTTAAAAACAGCTGTCCTCTTCCCGCGTCATTTTACGCCGAACCCGAAAAAAACTGCACTGCGACTGCATCCGACATCGGTCGGTGTCACGATGTCGTCTGTGGTAAACAACTAGTGAAGATAATTTAATATTATTCATATTTGTTATAATATTTAATTATTGCTCACACTATAACTATTTCAGTTTAAGTCACATTTAATTTTTATCAATGTCAACTCAACTCTCTTGTAAAATGGCGTTTGCCGTGCATGTAATAAATAAATAAATAGTGTGAGCTGCCAATTAAAATGTGTCTCTCTTTAGTGAGTGTCTGATTTGTGTCTCTGTGTCGAAAGCTTCAATTTATTTTTATATTTTTTACCTACACAGGAAACATGAACGAAAGCAGTATTGTAGAATCACTACTTTTACAAAATTTAAATTAGATTTAGTGACAGAGAGTATTTGTTAACTTAACCATTACACAGTAAAGGTTAAACAGTAAACATTATTTTAATACCGTATGTGGCTACCGCCTATTAATTAATTATTTCAATATGCACTATGGCACTAATTTGGTCAACTTTCCTATTTTACTTACAGATAGCCAGCTCAAAATACCTTCGTAGTTCTCTCTAGGCTATTTCGTTTGTAGAAATAGGCCTATGTTAGGGTTACAGTTTTGACTTAATGTAATGCTAAAAAAGTTTAAGTCAATAAATTGGTTTTGTTCACAGTGAAAGCATATTGTTTGTGTTAAAATAATTTCATAGAAGTCTAAAATATATAACTTCTGTTATTTACAGTGCCAAAAAATACAACAGTTGCAAGTTCAGGTTGTAAACAGGAAGCAAATGATTTATATTGTACGCATGCAGCCAAGTCATGCAAGGGAAAATAAAGAAAATACACAAATATAATACGAAAGAACCTAAGAAAATCATTTGTATTTTTATTTTTGTTAGGATATTTACTGTCAGAATAGCACCAAGTCGTGTGGATAAATAGTCTAAATTTTGTAAACCAAACATTGACCAATAGTGTCAGTTATCAGATTTCTGATTTTCCACTGTTAATGCCTCTAGATTGCCTAAAAATGCGAGTTTACAGGTATAATTTTTAAAAAATTTCCTGGGGGAGGGCCCCCGGACCCCCCTCTTTTCAGGGGGGTATTCCAGACCCCCCGGTTGGCGCCTTCGGGCTGGTCAAGGTTTACGCCCTAATAGAGTACCCAGTCCGCCCCTGGGTCTGGAGATTCAATTACTGTAAATAACTTAACAACACAACGTTTACATCACTAACCACGGCCACAAGGTGGCCGTGCAGTAACCCTTCAATAAAGAAAGATTTTTCATCGCCTACTTTATGTAATGGAGGAGTTCAGGTAATTCAGTACCTTTTTTAATTAACAGCTAGGTATATATAAGTACGAGCGGATTATAGTTAGCTGGATGTTACAGCTTTATTTATTTATCCCAACGGTTTCTCCATTTAATACAGTTTGGTACTACAGCACTACATCTTTACTGTGCTTACAATAATGCTGCAGCTGGTGCTGGGCGCCCACCGTTGTAGTTCTATGGCGCCCACTAATTGATATATTATCACACCCAATGCTTATTTTGTTACAATAATAAGGTTAATCTTCTATTAATTCTGCGTAAAATAATTACTAATTGAGATTTTAACAATCTACAAAGAACAATATCATTGATTATACATTTCCAAAGATATGGGCAATTTATAATCAATGGCAATACTAAACATTTTTAAACGTATTCCTTAATCTTCATATTTGCCTTAGTGTACTGTTTATTTTATACGTATGAAAGTAAATCTAATCAGCACTTAGGACATATACGACAGACTCTATTTTATATAGTAAATCTGTATTTTTGCTTTGACTTCATTAACGTCTGTTGGCTGTCCTGGCAGACCTGGGCCTCGCAGAATCCCATTGGATGTTTGGGGAGTAGAAACGTCGGTTTGATTCGTTGTTTCTGTCATTTCATTTCCCAGTTGATCGTGGTCAGTTGAATTTTCTAGGCCGGTTACTGACACGCAGTGTAATCAAGTGTTCTGCTAGTGTATGGGAAGTTAAAGTTGGGTGGGTCCAGGTTATATTCCAAGTGTTTCGCCGGTTAAACTACAAAGAGTGCTAATAATTTACTGTAGTTTACTACACAGGAAAATAAGTCCTTTTCAAACTGGATTATTGTTGCCATCTGTTGTGTCGGTATGTTAACCTAGATTGCAAATTTCTCTAAACCCATATAGTTTTGCTTCTGGAGGGTATTTTGCTTCTCTTGGACTTCTGTTCTACTTGTAAAAATACTTAAATTAAAATGAAGGACTACTACGAAGATCTTACTCTAAGAAACTATTCTTATATATTTAATTTTGAAGAGGAATTTAAGCATTTGGATTCAAGAGTATGGATGATCAAACATTGGACCAAAGGATTCTACTATTGTGCTATTTACATGATTTTAATCTTTGGTGGCCAATACTACATGCAGTCTAGACCCAGATTTCAACTTAGAGGAGTCCTATCGCTGTGGAACACACTTTTAGCCATATTTAGTATAATTGGTGCCTGCAGAACTGCACCTGAACTAATACACGTTCTCAAGAACTATGGAATATACCACTCAATCTGCGTCCCAAGGTAAACTTAATTCATAATTTATTTCTTCCTTAACTCGTTAAGTAAGTTATTGAATTGTATTGCATTACAGAAATTGTATTAGGCCCTACAGATAACTTCAAACATTCACTAAGCCTAAAGCTACCGACATGTTAAAAAACATTCCTTCGTGAGACCAGCATCAAGTAGGCCTATGGTTGACGACAGTTAAGGATTTTTACTACGAATCAGCGCCAACTATAAGTTAAGTTGATACGTGGTCTGAACTCACTGGACCGACGTCAACTATTGTTGACGCTAACATGCATTAAGTTACTTTATGACTTATGGTACAAATGTATGGTTTATTTTATCGCTAAAGATCAACATACTTAGCCTAAGTTACTAAGTTACATACTAAGTTAATGGATAAAGACAACCAGGCCTACATACTAACTTAGGCTATAAGTAAGCAATGGACCAATGCCATCTAACTTACGTTAACTTATAGAGAACACAACTAACTTAGGCCCTACCTATTTTTTTTTTAAATAGACTATAATTAATTTTAGTTACAAGATGAATTTTCTATGCTGGTGCCAAATTTTATGTACGGTAATCTAAATAAATATTAAGTTATCAAGACACTAATTAAACAGAAAAAAAAAACTAATAGAAAAGATTGGTTTGTGGGTACCTACCTAAGCTAGCCTATGTTAAATTAAGCTTGGTCCAAAATGAAAATATAGCATGCAGGTTAGGGCAGTGACTGGTGTCAACTATTCACACTAATCAGGCTTGCTTAGTTGACAATTAGTAAGTTAGTGACCGTTTTTTTTTTTTTTTTTTTTTAGAAACGGTAGCCAAAACCAATTTTCTTTGGGATATTTTTCTAGACAACATCAAACTCATACTAAAAGTAGCATGCCATTACAGCTTATAATAGACAACCTGAATATAACTTTAATAGTTAAGATTTAATCTTCACAACAATATCAAACTTACCTTAGTTGTAATCCAATTCCGAACGATCTATTTAAACCATGCAATACACAGGTTAATAAGCAAAATATGAGGTTTGTAATAAGTTATGTTGTTTATTTGAAACGTTTTGTTTTTAATGGCTTAGTAACTTAAACTAGAAACTTACTTTACATTGAATAATAAATAATAGGCCTAATCACTTTAAAACCCATCTAGCCCAATAATAAAAAATACATTTAAAGACGGGATAAACTTTTGAGTTTGCGAACGAGATCAGACCATGGGAACGGGGTTTTACAGGGGTTTTTATGGGGCAATAATTGGTTTTTCTCATTTTTAACCCTCAAAGCACAAAATTTACCGATTTCTCTTACCTTTTTAAAGAGCTCTGAAAACAAATTATTTAGTATGGTACCTCCCTACAAAATTGTTTTTGTATGGTTAGTTGGTAACGGAGAAATGTTTTAATACCGTACCGGAATTTTAAATTTAAAATTCCCATGTTATTCTTAAGGAGAATATTAAAATATGTTGAATGAAAGTCTTGAAAATCTTGAATGATCTCTCGAACCAGCATGATCGCACCGTGGAAACGGGGTTTTACGGGGGACTTAAGGCGTAAAATTGATTTTTCTCATTTTTAACCCTCAAAATACAAAATTTCCCAATTTCTCCAAAGACCTTTTTAAAGAGCTTAAAAAACAAATAATTTAGTAGGCTATATCAAAGTGTTTTTTGTAGCCTACCTACTGTTATTGGTAAAGGAGAACCAACATTTAAAAAATCATAAATTTAAAATTCCCATGTTATTCTTATGTAGAATATTGTAAAATGTTGTAGTTTGCTTGTTTATGGATATATTTTGATCAAACTAGGTAAATGCATTTGTTTTATACTAAGCTATTATTAAGAAATGGGGAATTTTTTGTAATGAGGGTTAAAAATTAGGAAAACTAATTTTCACCCCCTAAAACCCCGTGAGCATGGTCCAATCATGCTTGTTTGCGGACTCATTCGATTAAATGTAGGTTTAAACGCATTTGAACCAAATTTTTTTTTAGTTATGTAGGCCCTATAACTTATAATAGCTAGCCTATTTATATATGAATTTGAACGGAGGATGTTTTGGGACTCTGGGTCATCATAACAAAAAAGTGACACCAGGTCTTACCATGGAACCTATGGTAATACCGGTAGCTTATTCCCTATATAGGAAATTCGCTAAATAACTTTTAAGCTAGTCTGTTTTTGCCTATTTCAATTGCAACTCCTGTCTTTGACTACAACTAGACATTCATTCCCATGTTCAAGTTGTCACCAGTTTTTAAATTGTAGAGCCACCAGGGGAATTTTAGAGGACTTTGGGTATTTAAAATGTAGGCTAGGCTACATCTTTTTGTGCAGGACTAAATTAATATTTCTTCTATTTAATAAAAAATGACAGGTATGCCTATATTGTTAATTTGTGATACCCTAGCCTATAGCCTATTTGTGAATCAGAAATTGTTCCATATTTTCCCTGAAAGGATAATGTTTCATACAAATTTTCAAACCTCAAAGAGTTGTGTCAGATTCCCTGGAACTTGAGTAAAATCATCAGGAAATGTTCTAAAACTTCAGATTTTCTTGACCTTCTTTATTTTTAGAAGTATTCCTTAAGGATATTAAAAAAAGACTAATTCTAAAATATATACAGTATAAAACATTCACACAAGATGGTTGCATCTTATTTGTCGAATGTGTTTTGTATGCTTGCTTAGTGATATGATAAAAGTGTTATCAATTGGAAAGCTTTTAAAAAAAATCTTTACTGGCCTGCATTATGTTAACAATCGATAAAATTATTTCATTTGGTAGGATGAGGCCCAGAAACATTGGCTAGCCTAATTTCTATTTGTGGGGGGAGGGTAACACTTACGAAAATGTGGAATGTTAGATTTGATTTTAATACGGCTATTAAAATTTTTTTTCTAATTAAAATTTGTAGGTATATGATGCCACTCACATTAACTGTTTCAGTCTGTTAAAAACGCAATGTCATTGATTTTTAATTGTAATTTTTGACGTGCTGGAAGAGATGTAACAAATTGTAAATAGCCATTTCTTCCCCACGTAGGCCTACCTAAGATTTTAAATTAGTATTTTTTTATTAAAACTTGCTGTTTTTCTTTCTTCTATTATTAATGTTTGTTTTAAAAACGGACACCTGCCTCCTACTCTGCTTTTGTTAAAGTATCACAATGCATTAGATTTTCTATTCATTTTACTTTTCCCTATGGTCAAGTCGTAGAAGTCGTCATTAGGATCAGGTAGGTTAATCATTATTTCCATATCTAGTCTAAAAATGGTTTATACTCCCCATTTAATAAATCATTTTGGTAATTAGTTCTAACATTTTTATTTATAACATTACAATGGTGAAACAACCATTTCACCCTAACACCAGTGACCATATGTACTACCATCCTCTCTGGATTTAGTACCGTAATTAAAATACTTATCCTTGTGTTACAGTTTCATCGAACATGACCGAGTCGCTGGTTGCTGGTCGTTCCTCTTCGTTCTCTCCAAGCTTCCTGAACTGGGAGACACGATGTTCATTGTTCTACGGAAGCAACCTCTCATCTTCCTCCACTGGTATCATCACATTACGGTTCTTCTCTACTCCTGGTTCTCTTATACAGAATACACTTCCTCCGCCCGCTGGTACATCGTGATGAACTACTGCGTACACTCCATCATGTACTCCTACTATGCTCTGCGCTCCATGGGATATCGTCCTTGGAAGAACATCGCTATGTTGATCACCTCTTGTCAACTCACCCAGATGATCGTCGGTTGTGCTGTCAATATTTGGGCTGCTCAATATCTTCAGGAAGGCAAACAAGACTGCCACGTATCTTGGTTCAACATCAAGTTGTCACTTCTGATGTACTTCAGCTACTTTGTTCTGTTTGCAAGATTCTTCTACAAAGCTTACCTCAACCCGAGTGCTGGTAAACGCAAGGCACAGATGAGTGACATCCCTGGCAAATACACCAGCAACGCCAGCAATGCTAAGGTCAAGGCTCAGTAAGTACACTGCGAATAACTGGATTGAATTGGTGAAAGAAAGAAATACTTTCGACTTTTAGTTGTGATCTCTTATAGTAACGACTGTCTTGAGTGGTTGTTCAGTTAGTTACCGGTACTTTTCTTAGAGATAAATGAATTTTATGATGAATTCACTTCTCTCTCTCTCTCTCTTACTCCGGTTAAATTAAACCAACGGTTTTAGTCTCCGCTGTAAAATTATGCTAACATTTTTATCACGCCGTCGAATGTTTTTCTTTCTTTCCCAATCTCATCCGTTTCTGAAGTGCACAAAGTATAATGGACTGAAGTTATGATAGAGAGTTTTTCTTCAGAGAAATCTTGCAGTAATTTATTTTATACATGCTAGTCATTAACATTCATTATTGTTGTGGATAGAATCAGGTCTTGTTATGCCGATTGTGGACAAAATCGCACAAGTGGCCATCTACATGTTCCTGTTGCATGAATTACTTAAGAAACTAATTTGTATAAAATATTCAGGACATGTACATTTTCAGTTTTAGTTTTATGTAAGCAAGTTAGTTAACCTTTTGAAGAATTTTGTACCAACCCTCTGAAGCTAATAATGCACTCATCAGAATTTCTGTGATTTAAAATTGTTATTAATTGTAGATTTTGTACATTTTTTGTCTATCAAAAAGTATATAGAAAATCAATTGGTATGTGAAGTAAGTTTGGAAAAGAAATTGATTGTTACCACCACTATTAGTTTTTGTTTAGGCCACTGTTATTGAAGCACTATATAGTCAAAAGACTAACTGTAGGTTTTTTTATGATTTTTTACCTCTTAAGTCTTTTTTTAAGATCAAGTATCATTTAAGTATCAAAACAATGTATCATATTGTACAGCTGGAACAAATTTTGACTTAAGCTAACTCAGGCTGATAGCCTTATAACCTACAAGTGTGTTCAAAATTTCACCATGCCGTCCTAAAGTCAGTTTACTAAATTAATTAAAGTTATGTGATTTTTCTGCAATAGTTAACTTATACCTAACATTTTGTTCATAGTGTGCATATTTTTTACATTTATAATTAAATATATCAGATCATTTTTTGTTTTATTCTTGTTATTCTTACCTATATATATATTGTATGAAAATAATCATTCCTTTCTAATGTTTTTTATACAGTAGTTAGTATTTTTACACCGGTCCATGATTCACAAATATTTTTTTCTTGTGATGGATCGCAAAAATTAAAAAAAAGTCACATCTTAAACTATGTTAAGATTTTTAATGTACACAAGCCTAACATATTACAATAATTAAATTTAAAATAGATCCATGATTTGGACTCAAATCTTCAGTGTTTTAATGCAAATGCAACATTAAAATACTTAACTACAAATAACCTTATGATTTTTTCATGGTGCACATTTTGTGGTACAACATAGGCCTAGTTTCACTGTTTTACTGGTGTGGTTTAGATTAAACATTATTTTTATACTTTTATAATTAAGTGTAGAACATGTAGAATCCATAAACTGTTTCTTCTTACAATTCAGTTGCATTTACTATAGACTGTAGGCCTACGATTGCTTAGTAATTTTTGTGAAAATTTATTGATAGCAGAAACATAAAACCAGTTATAGAAGTGTTTACAAAACAATTAGTTACTGCCATACCTGAGCTTTATGCCACTGTAAACACATTCCTGTAAAAATTACTAATATTTTGTATCTTGTTTACCAAACAGTGGTTTATGCACAAATGGTTTATTCAGTCCTGCGTAAAAATGTTGAGAGGTCAAGATGATTTTTTCCGTAAAATATTTCAAAAATGTGCCAATTACAATAGTAAATGGTAATTAAAATTATTTTGGTATGTATAGTACATACATATAGGTAGAACTACAATTGCAAAATAAATTGTAGAGTATATTTAGCCGTTTGTTATGTTTAGTAGGTAGAAGATAATTTTAAATATGATAATTAATATGATAAATATAAAAATGATAATTTCTGGCATTATTTCAACCTCTCTTCAAAATCCCATTTGTCATATAAAGTTTTATATTAAACTTATATAATATTCCTTAGTAACACTTTTGTATCAAGCTCCTATACAGCAAATAATAATATTGTGATGTAAAAGTTTGTTTGAAAATACATTTTTCATGTTTTAAATGGGTTTTATTGTCCATGTTATGCAGATACCAAAATAGTCATAAGATACAGGTTTAAAAAATATATATTTAGTTAACTTAAAAAATTCTAATAGTAGATTTTAAAAATCTGTACAATAATGGTTATCAATAGTCAAAGGTGATACGAAGTCTAAAGTCTTTGTGTTTGTCAAATGCTTGATACTGTTAACAGTTGAGGTCATTGACACACTTAAAACAAAACTTGGTATTAATGAAGATCTGATCACAGAAATATAATTTTTAATTTACTTTGGTATTTCAATGATCAGAGTTCCAGGTTCAAATCCTGTCAAACACAAATGACTTTAGCTGTGTCATTGGTGAGACACTGCTGGAAGTAGAACACACTTATGTATGCTTATGTGTTCTGGTACACCCAGTACTCAATATGTGGCGGAACGGCGTTCCGGTGCCTCTCTTTCGGAAAGATAAAAATATTGGCATCAGGAAACATAATAGTTATTTGTGCAACTAGTGAGCAAAGGGAGCAATTGACTCACTCGAGAGATAAACTTACTCACGAGCCGTAGGCGAGTGAGGAATGGTTTCTCGAGTGAGGCAATTGCACTTTGCACTCGAGTTGCACATTATATTTTTCCTACAGTTACCATAAAACAAATAAATTGGTAAAGAAACGTAGCATATTTTTACACAGAAGTGATCTTTTAATATGACATTTAATGTGAAGTAACAACAAATACAACAGTACAACAGCTGACCAGCTGATTTACAGCCAGTGCTGCCAACGTATTTCGCGCGCATACGACCTTGTCTGCATGTTACGCGCTCACTATTTCGTGCCTTCAAGTTGCAAATCTGGAGTGAGACAAAGTAATTAGAGTGAGACAATGTTAACATTGTCTCACTGATGAGCGAATTGGCCACTTTGCTTTCTCAAATCAGTAAGAGAACATGTACATTGTTAGGTATCTGTAGGAAAAATTCATAAACAAGTTTGACTTGGAAATATTTCTTTTTCCCTACTACTTAAAACAGGTTAAACAATTTTTGAGGGTATAGGAGGGGGGGGGTCATAAGTTTACAGTTGGCACCTCATTGTTTTACTAATTAATTGAGGACTGGGTACACCTATCTATCTCAGTCTTTTGGTTGAGGATAAATTTCTCTAGTAAAACTACCCCCATAAAACTGAAAACTATAGACAAACTAGTCTTCAATTACCGTATGATAAAAATAGAGTTTAAATCATCACAAAAAAGATATCTCAGTGGGTTTTGTTGGGAAATAACTACAGTACAACACTTTTTTGTTATAAATTAATTGAGATAACATGCACAATTCTACTGTAATCTAAAAAAAACTAGTTGACCAGCAATTTCAACTACATACATTATAAACATTAAAAATCTATATAAATAAAATTAGAGTTTTGTCTGTACATTGCTTAGAATAATGAACTTTTTGGTTATTTTTACATTTCATAGGTCAGAGAAACCGAATCAAACCTTATCTCAATTTCTGTCTGTCTGTCTGTCTGTCTGTCTGTCTGTCTATCTGTCATTCTCTTGGTAACGCTAAAATACGCACTTTATTACAACTACTCCTCAATAACTATAGCACTGTCCCGCCTGAAACTTATTTTCCAAATACTATACATATATGAGATGGTTTTAGACGTATTTCATCGAATATGAGACAGTTAGATATTTAACAGTAAACCCTTGAAAATCAAGTTTTTGTCGATTTTTGACGTGGAATTTCTGGAAGCCCATGTTAACCTTATGAGAAATGAAATTATTGAATCTTAACAGCTGTTTCAATTAAACAAGTTGGTTATGTTCTGTGATGTTCAATAGCATTAAAGTTACAAGGATTACCAACAGGGTGCAGCACTAGCACTATTATTTCTTTTACATTTATGACAACAGCTAATTTGCAACCTGGAGGCGAGTGAGCGTAGCGAACGAGCTAACCTGAAGGCAAGTGAGCGTAGCGAACGAGCTAACCTGAAGGAAAGTGAGCGCAGCGAACGAGCTCCAACATACAGGTGAGTGAGCGTAGCGAACGAACTTCAACCAGGACGTGATTGAGCCATGCAAACGAGATCAGATAGTAAAAATAAAAGTAAGCCTACCGTTATAGGATCGACCGGCAGACACAGAGGTAATTTAACCTTTTATTGATTGTCATACCGATCCGGAACAACAAAAAACAACATAAAATGAAGCTATGTATAATAGTTTGGCCAGCATATCTTAAAATATGCAAACCAACTGCTGTTCTTTATATAAGAAGGTTTCAACTGAATATTATAAGATCCCCGTGCGTAGAACGGGTACACAGCTAGTTCATTATATAATTGACACAGTATAGTTCGAACGGAAAGGTTAATTTTTCTTTTACTACAACTGCAATTGTGGATATTTATAGGGATGCACTGTGGATGTGATGCTCCCTGGTGTGGATTAACGTCCGCACTAGTGAGTACTACGACTATCCGCAGTATTATCCTGATAATTAGACCAATTCGTAAATTACAAGGAAAAATGTGGTTCGGATTCCACTATAAACTGTAGGTCCCTTAGTTGCCATTAGCTGTATGGGCTATTAATTAACAGCTGTGTCTAAGGAACATGTCGGCCTTAGTCACTAACAAGACTACAAGATCGCGCCACTCATCCTACACTCATCCTTTACTCATATTTGGGTTAAAATACGCACATAGTGGCGTCCCCATCTTAAATAATTGAATTGAATTGAATGGTAACATTGCCATACCTGTAAACGGCACGCAAAATAGCTAATTGCTGCTCTAGAGCGGGAATGGATCATTGCCGCTCGCTTGTCAGCTGATTTCCCTGTTGGCGTTTCTACACCAACCACAGCCGCAGATCAGATTCATTAGTTTACAACCGGTAAGCTAAATAACATAACCTTAAAAAGCAAACATAACCTAAATGTCATTTTATAAGAGTTAATCTGTGTGTTATTATAAGTTAATTATGGTGGTAGGAAAAATCTTGTGTGTATTACGAGAACAAACAGTCGTTGCCGCTCTCGAAATAGCCGCACTCAGGTAAAGCTCCGTGCGTCCATCTACAGTTTTCGAGCGGAAATGACGTACTTTGCAGTCTTTGCACTACTTAATTAGCTACTATATTTCGCTTCGTGGTCTAAGTTACTCGTATCCTTCCTTACAAGGCGACAACAGCCAGTAATTTAACCTTTTATTGTGAAATAATAGGTCCGAAAACGCCACAACAAGATTAGTATAATTTGTGGATGAAAAACTAAATTACATCAAATGACCAGACAGTAGACTAGTTAGTTATTGTGCGTCATTGCCATTTAACCTGACCTTGACGTTTTTTGGCTGGAAATGTTCTACCTGCACATCCGGTGATTATAATGCTTATCACTCCGGTCTTATCAGTGTTGAACGTCACAACATAATGCCGGGACAATGCACAATGATGGATTGTAAATCCACTAGTAATTTATTTAATGTGATAAAACACGGGATGCGGTGTTGTTAGCACTGAAACAGCTTCCCGAAGTGTTTTAAACAGAGTAAATGTTAGTTGGGAAACGTTTTTGTTTTTGTAAAGAAGTTGTGAAATGCATCAGGGGTAGTCGCATCTCAAAAAGTATTTGAATTATAAGAGAATATTAGTAAGAGTAAGTCGGACTGAATAAGAGAAGACATTACATTAAACTAAATTTTCAATATGGTCTCAATTATTTTCTTCTTTTGGTGTTTTTCTAAGACATTGGAATTTTTTTAGTTTTTTCATTGGTTCTTACTAGGCCTACTACCCAACGGTCCGCTGTCTGAACAACAAAACTAGTTTTAACTCAACATTGGGTCGTAAAAGATTTGTCATTTGCTTGTATACTGGAGTGATTTGAAAATGTAATTGACGCGCATTTTCCACGGTTGCATCA